AAACCAGCAGAAAAGGGCTCAGGAACCGCAATAATGGATTACTCTTGGTACATCAACGAATGCTACAGTCAACTCAACGATCCTAATTACTACCAGAAACAATCTACTAATCTGACAAGTAAATACAGGAACGTGTCAAAGAATACCTTAACCACCACACAAAGATGATTTAATTAACGATGACACATTCAAGTACCTTATATTCAGCTCCGATCCCAAGGCTGGTCGCTTCTACATCCTCCCTAAAATGCACAAACAAGGCAACCCCGGACGTCGTTTTATTTCTAGCAATGGCCATCCTATATACAGAGCGAATTTCTGAATTTGTCGACTATCAGCTCAATTCCCTCGTACAGTCCCTTCCATCTTACATCAAAGATACTGCACACTTTCTTCTTCAACTTGAACAAATGGGACCACTACCGGACAATGCCATTCTTGTCCCCCTCAATGTCTTTTCACTTATACACTAACATTCCTCACAACGAAGGCATTGAAGCATGGCGCCATTTCCTTAACACACACACTTTGCTCGGAGAAACTGGAGGTGAATCAGTGAATAGTGCAGGATATTCACTGATTGATTAGCCAATCAGAGCTCGTGAAAGACACTATCCACTGTTTTAGTATTTACTAAATAGATTTAGCCCGGGCTTAAAGCGAAGCTCTCGATAATATTTATGGTTTGTTCAAAAAAAAATTAAATCGTGTAATGCTTGGCGGCGAAGGAAACGAGAACTCTGAAAAAACCACAATAGGTCTAATTATCAAAAAAGAAACTTTGCACGTGCAACACACTTTTTTTGTCCAGTTTTTGCCGTTGTTTGCACGACTACAACGTAAAACTTCCAGAAACTTCGTAGTTACTCGTTTTATGGAGGAAATGTCGTACGTGTTCTTGTTCACTTTTTTCCAATGTCGCTCATTTTCGCCGTGGTGGCCGCTAGCATTTCTCATTTTCTCGCCACCGCTACAACATTTTCATGTTGTTGTTCCAATTCCTTTGTTTTTTATCTCTTGCTCTAGCTCTCTGTTGCTTTTTTCTCGTTGAGCTTCGCTGGCTTGTCGCCTACTTTCTCTTTTTCTCTGTGTTTCTCTTTCTCTATTTTCTAAATTTGTGGACATGAAAATTAATTTAAGCTTCATACTTTAGACATCACGGATACAGAAACAATTTACGCTTTCCGTTTTCTTTACTGACTCTTAAGTCCAAGTTGTCTCTGCTTTACAAGACGCGAGTGGCTATGCGATTTCCGGCCAAAATAACCTCGAGTTGCATTAGGTTACCATACCTGTTATTGAGTTATTTTACTTTGGTATGCCTGTGGTACGGACGGACGGGTAAACGTACGGTCAGTGATTACCAAAATTTATCGGATGGGTAGGTTACCACAGTTTCTTTGGTATGGGGTGCGGGGTACGCTTGCGCGCTTGTAAATAATGCATATTGATTTTGAGACTTTTCTTGGTACGTTCTGTATTTCAGATTTTCAAAATAAGTGTTCGTCAACTCCTTAGAACAGATGGATTATTTTCAAATGAACTGATTTTCTTGTCCTCCCTCTAAAAAAAAACAAAAATATTTTTATTGAAATTTATAATTTGTAAAACTACGTGCTTTTCAGCTTACCACCTGCACAAATTCATTAACACTAAAGCACAAGACATTTGACCAGTTTCCAAATTAATTGTTTGTTTTGTGCCCAGTCAACTTAGTGACCCTCACGAAAGTTAAAATGGCTAAAAATAATTCAGTACAAAAGTCTGTTAAACGCTTATCTATCCTATGTGTGTCTCAAGACAAATTGTAGGTTTAGACTTCGCATTTAAAAAAAGTACACACAAACATGTTAATCTTGGGGTCACGTGGTAAAGGAGCTGTGTCACGTTATCTGCCATCTTTTTAAACGGCTGAAACCTGCCTTCTCAAATATTGCATTCCAAAAATATTGGAATCTTTATACGTTTCTGGGAAACTGCCCACCTACCCCTCCCCTAAACCAACATTACACTTACTTCTCACTTGGGGCAAAATGTTGGTTTAAAAGGGGGGGGGAGGGGGGGTGGTAAGTGGGCAGTTTCCCAGAGACGTATAGTGATCCAAATATTGGTCCAGTTATGTAAGACTACTACAATTAGGCACTGAAACTGTCTTCCTGTCGTCTATTGCTACGGATGACTAGGATGGGAATGGATTGCGACTTGGATCAACTTAAGTTTTCAAGTTTCAAAAGGAAACTGAGGCTAATTCCTGCCATTTATATGAAGCTATTTTGAATTGAGATTTTTTCGTACACTGAGTTCGAGTTCTTTTAAATTTTAAACATTTCTGTCGTACCATTGTTATTATAAAGAGCGGAATAGTGATGAAACCCTTCAAACGCCTTTGTTATAAGTACTGTTTTGGACTTGACGACGCACAAAGTTAAATAGCGCTCCTATCATTTTCACTTCACTGACCAACTAAAGAGTTGCATCAATCTATTCCGTCGGAATTGGT